TTCAAGCCTCTGGCTAAAGTGTCAGCTTTAAAACTAAAACTTAGAGACAATGTAATGACCATAATGACCAGTGAATGTACTTGCAGTTGAAACATTAGCTTGAGCAAGAATTCCTGACTGAAAAAAGAAAGTAAAAGAGTGTTGATATGAGAATGATAATATATCATAATTAAATCTTGAGATCAATACCCTTATCCAGCTTTTAAGCACAATGTTCATTTTAAACTACAATGCCATTAATTTCTACCTACTCAAGTAAAGTAACTGACCATGTTAGAACAGCTTTGCATCAATATAGGTATATATACATGCACGTAACTCAGCAGTATCACTGCATGGGACAATATTTCTTGAAATGATTAAGGTTTAATGTACTGTTATATCTTTTATTACTGGTCTATACTAGCTAGATTTAGTGACTATATTGTTTATTGACACAAGGGTATTTGTGTCTTCAGTTCATTCAAGCACAAATTGACAATAATCATGCAGTTTCCCCCTGACGCTCTCTGTTTATGTCACATTATTTTTCATCAAAAAGCAGACAGTGTTACACTGAATTTATTAGACTCAAACAAAAATTTTGAATGATCTATAATAACAGAAATGTACAATGTATACTTACACTTGGTGTGTGACCTTGAGCCACTGAGCTCTGCTGAAAATTGTAAAAGATAAAATTCATGCAGTAACAGGTTATTAAGATGTATAATGAATTGCCTCAATTTGCATTTCTTATGGTAGATTGATGGTAAGAATTCAGATACTTAACATTGTAAAATTCAAATTTAATCTAGAAACATAATTTTACTCTATGTCTATTACTTTAACAAATCCAGTCAAAACATATGTCTCTACTGGTGTGTACTTATACTAAAGGAAGATGTGTATTTTAGTATAGTCAGTCTAATAAGACAAAAACTGTAGGAAAATTAGTATTTTGAAGAATTTCAAATATATTTCTATTTTTAGTAACCATGGCAACACTCTTGTTCAAAATCAGAAACTGATCAGCAGAATTAATTGTATCCTAGTGTAGTCTACTTGTGTACCAAGCCATATTGAATTTGGACCAAAAACTGTTAGGGGAGTAGTGTTCTGAGAGAATTTCCAAGAAATATCTATTTATAGTAACATTGGCAAAACTGTTTGTCGAATTAAACTGCTGTTTTATTGTACATATATCACATGGCTTCAAGAGTGACATAACAGAATGTTTTTCCCAAAGGGATAGGAAATCCCTGGAGTGTTATGTCACCAGATGCCAAAGGCAAGGGTGACATAACACTCCAGGGATTTCCTGTCATCAAAGGGCAAATATTCTGGTTTAGTCACCCTCAAAGCCTTGTGATACATCTGTATATGTTTCTTTAACATTTTTAAAATATAAAAAAAAATGTCAAAATCATTAAAATCTAAAAATATTTTCATGATGTTTTGAACTATGTTCAATTGCTTACAAATCAAAATCATTAAATCTCGAACCAAGTTGTGTGTTATATAACTGTTTCAGGTGTGATAGTCAACATTCTTTAGGGTAAATAATTAAACTTTTTACATTAAATATGATATAACAGAAATATTTCACATCTTTTTGCAACTTGGGACAGTACCTCTAAGTTCTAGCTAGCCTACTGTCCTTGATCGTCATATTATAAATTACCAAATTAAGAAAAGCAAGTTTTCAATGTTGTCTATATGTGCAATCTCTGTCAGTTGCATTAATTTGACCAATGTACATTGACAAAAAACTGTATTTAGAATTCCAGATAAATCAGGAATGCACCATGCATATAACATGTAGAAATTCCATTGTATATACATGTATGTTGTAAGTTTTAGTGCTTACCACAATACTGGATCCAACAGTAACTGTTGAGCCACATGATGTGATTGGTATTTCATTAAGAAAGTCTGATACATCAGGCAATTCAAAGTCATAGTCGCTTTCCGAATGTGACTCAATTGTAAAATTTATTACCTATAAAACCAGTAACATACTTAATAATTCAATTGCTCAAAATATAATTGATTCATTCAATATGATATTGCTGAAAAATACATTTCTATATTGGATTGTAATTTAAAGCAGTATGACTACTGTATACAGGGTTATTTTTGCCCTTTCACACTTGCAAACAATTGTGCCCCGTTAATTCACCCAGTCATTATTAGTTCTATTTAAGAAATTATACTGTGTTCTTCGAATTCGTCCCGTTTTAAATTCGCCCAACTGTGAGTAGGGCGAAAATAAAATGGGGGCAAAAATTTCCCTGTATACAGTACTATGTTTGTGCAATATGATATACCATTACCTTTCTCTTGCTTAGAAGGTACAGTCTCGGTCGTTGTGTTTCTAGGTTTAGTAACCAGTTATGAACTGAGAAATTGTTTTTGTTTAAGGGCTGCCCTTTGCTATTGCCAAGTTCAAAAGAGAAAGAGATTTCTTTTCCTCTCACACTTTTCCCGGTAGGGAAGAACTCCATAATGACACGCCTTAAAGTTTCTTCATAATCCGTATTTCCCGGAAGCATAATGCTTCTGTTTGAAACATCTGGGTTCTTTATTGTATTCTTGACTTGTTTGTACCTTTTTTCGCTGAAACTAAAATCCATCCACCCTAATTATGTTCCCCAAACGAAGTTGGGGAACATATTGTTTTTACTCTGTTTCTTATTATTATTATTATGTTCCCCAAACGAAGTTGGGGAACATATTGTTTTTACTCTGTTTCTTATTAGGGTCTTCCGAGCTTCCTTCGGAAGACCCTACTGTTATTCTACTGTTTCTTATTATTATTTTATTTTTTTTTTCCCGCCGATTTTCAGCAGGCGATTTCTCGGAGACCTTTTGTCCGATTGCTATGAAACTTTCAGGGTAGATACAGTGTATTATTGCCTAAAAACGGTTTTTTCAAATTTTTGATATATACCCCCGTTCATGAGTTATTGCCCTTTAATCGATATTTGGAGGGTCTCTTGTCCATTAGAATTCTCAATAACGACACATGATATTTGCATGAAAACTGGAGAACTTGTAACTAATACATTGCAGATGCGCAGAACATTAAAATTGTAGGCTAATTTTTTTAAGTTCGGAAGCTATGTGACGGCAAGTTTTAAGAATTATTTTTCCATGAAATTTTGCTGCTTTTTGTTTAATAACTTTTAAACTGATAAAAATTTGGTAAGACATATAGAATAAAAGTTGTGTGTAATTACGAGAGCTTTCAGATAACATCAAGAAAAAGGGGCTGGCCCCTATATTCAGGGGACAGCAGGTCATAAAAGTATTTTTTGTATAGCTAAAAATATTAAAAATATTATGAAAAAGTTTGAATGACATAATTTCTAACATATTAAATCTTGTCATGTGGTATTAAGAGAAACAAGCTCCGTGCTATATTTTATATAATAATTATTCGAGAATCGTACAGGAACAAGTTGTCTACAAACCAGCCACGCCTTTTAGGGCATCGTAACACATGCTTGTACGCTTTTAGATACTTGTTGTGTTTTAAATAAATTGTTTTGATTCGATTTCTCTATTTTCTGTTATTTAAATCGTTTATAAATGCAAGTTATTTACACAAGTAAAGGTAAATCAAGATTTACAAATGCATCCGTATAGAAAGAGTCTTAATCGGGGCCTCTTGTTTGTAACCTGGATGTAAACAATCACGAGCGGCATTGTGGGAAGAAGACACTAAAGACCCGATATACGAAAAACGTGATTTGATCTGATGCTTTGTTGGCAAATATTTTTAAAAAAGTGTAGTTTAGTATAGCATAATGCTTCATAATCAATAATTTTTAAAAATAAATCATGTTTAACACTCAATCTGATTATTTTATTTTTTGAAAAATCATCAGGTTGAATATCAGGTCTTTAGTATATCAAATCTTTAGTACGTCCCCGAAAGTAGCCATGCAAGTCGGAATTACAGACAGAAATGGCCAAATGTGAAATTGACAGTTGTACATTTTCTTAACGTACGAGCCGTATGTAGACATGCACGTTTAATCCACATCTACGAAGCACATAAACTCCTTGGTTGCGTACAGGGAGCATTAGTTTTAAAGGGATATATATATTCTTGCGCAAATTGTTTACGAGGAAATTCTGACGATCACATTAACAGCGATGAACAGTCTTGTGATAAATGTAGCGAGTGATGAAAGAGTTCACGGTGACATTTTAATATATGATTGGCGTGAACCATGGAAATGAAGGTTAGAATTTTTCTTATCTAAAATTTAACAGCTGCTTACAGCACTGATGTTTACATGTATATGCCAGCAAATGTATAAATGTACGCACAAACACTGATGTATGTTATCTATTTTATGGTTCAGTCTCTGTCTGTTAGCCCTGACATGACATTGTCAAATCCCATTGCTATACCTTATATTTAAATGCATGAGAGCATGTAATTTCACCAAGACTTATTTTTTTTATTGAAACAAAAAAATGCAAAAAATCAACAATACACTATCTAACATACTACATGTATAAACATGATAATTATTGTTATATATTCTTCAACAAGTATGAATAGCTGTTATAACTAGGGCCTTAATTAATATTATAATTTGTTATACCTTTAAAAATTTGTTCTTATATAAATCTATACCAGTGCATACATGTGACAGATCTGTCAAGTCACAACTGGAGATTTAAAAATTTTCAGCTGGAGATTGAAGCCAAAAACTGGAGGTTTTTTATCGACATTTTATCGACATTTTCCAACACAGGTTTTGCTGGGTTTTTTTTTAAATTGGACATCATGACTACCCTTTAGATTCAATACATGTATTTACACTATACTAGTATACATATATGCACTACATTACACATGTCTGACTTACAAAAGTAAAAAAAAAAGAATATTGCATATTTATGTGTATTTACTTATGAAAAATATAACAATGATTTGTAACATTTAACAGGAATATTCACAGTCACCAGGCATGCTATCACATATCACACATTCACAAGTGTTAAGAACTTAAAATAGACTGCTTATACAAGGCACAAGCAGTCCTGGCTACTTTCACAACTTCTGGCTCTGGCTTATACTGGTGGCATTCTATAGGATTATTAATCTTACTACTTAGTAAACTATGTATTGTCTTGTCGGCAAGGTTGTCCCTAGAGTCTGACTGTATTTTTTTCAACACTGAAAAAACTCTCTCTGTATCTGCATTGGAGTGAGGGAGGGTAAGCACATTCTTGCTTAGGTTATACAGGTGCTGAAACTGTTTCTGACCTCTTGGTAATTTCAGTTTCCCCAAGGAATTCCAATATTGGTTGAGTGTTGTTGTGTCTGGGTCAAATTTTGGAAGGTCAGATAATGGGGTTAAGATATATTCTGCAGCTTCATCTTCTAGTTTTCTCTTCTCTTCCTGGCTGAAACTACAAAATCTCTCAGACAAACTGACTATGTCATCTGTAGATATTTTGTCTTTAGTGCTGGGATTCAGAAAACCAATTCCTTTGAGCACCTTATCATTGAAAGGGAATTTCTTCACCATTGTCTCTGTAGTTGTGCAATAGAACTCTCTTACTGACCTGAATAAAAGATAAATAAAACAATTAAAATTGTAATCAACACATACAAAAAATTGTTTAGAGTTCTAGATATCTAAGATTTATTCTTAACATTTAATTAAGAGGATTTTTAAAAATATATATATATATATTTGCCCATGTTTTTATTACTTGTATTTTTTTTACCTAAAGAATTTGTTGACTGTTTCTGGTGGCAAGTCATCATGAGCAGTTAAATAATTCCTTGCAGTCCATCCAATGGCCAGTGTGGCTTCATCATGCTGGTTGTCTGCACACCTAACCTATACCTTAGTGATGTCTTGCACAGATGTAATGGCTCTTGTTGTGACAAATTTTTCCATCCACTTAATTAATATTATAATTTGTTATACCTTTAAAAATTTGTTCTTATATAAATCTATACCAGTCAGTGTACACTCAAAATGTCTAACATTTCCAAGGTTTTATAAGCAATCATAAAAAAATCTATGTTGAACCGCAAAGTGAGATATTGAACCTGTCGATGAGATCATTGGACTGCTTACATATTACAGTATGCGTGGGATTAGTTAAATCTCATTTGCATTCGTTGGTGTTCGAAAGTTACGGAATTGACAGAGTTTTACCTCAGTGCTGGTAAAGGAAATTTACATCACGGAAGCCACTACAAAATACATGTATGTCAAACAAAATAAGAAAGTAAAAGATATTGACCGTGTTCTCGGGGTAAAATGCAATTTGCTGACCCTTTGAACCAAACTGTTTCCCTTCAGCCTAATGGCCTCAGGCAAACAGTTTGGTTCTTGGGTCCGACAAAACACATGTTGCCCTCGAACCCAGTTAGTAAATGTGTATTATTATTGGAAAATCTCAAAAATGTCACTCAGTTAAATTGCAAAAGAAATTTGGAAATATATTTATACATAAAAGTTTGAATTATTTCTGTGATAAGACTGCAGGATTGATTTGTGTTTTGTTTATTACCCCTTCAATTTTTTTTTAGTCATATTATTATGCCACCACTTGCTGGTGGAGGCCTGCAAATATAGACCTGTACTTGACACTTATGGCCTTTGGGAAGTGAGGGATCTTTTTCGTGCCAGCACCTTCTGTGATACAGAACCTCGGTTCATACGGTTTCATCCGAGGAACCTATCTCCACATCCTGCTGTGGGATTCGAACCTGCGACGTAAGGATCAGCTTAAACTTAGAGTGGTATTTGGGTTATACAGTAAAACACGCTTACTGCGAACAGACTTAAATAAGGAATTGAAGCATATATAGTGAAGTGATTTTCATTCCCTGTGGTTTTAAAACATACTGAAAACTAAACTGAAAAATGAATACATTTATAATGAATCAAAATTATTTGTCCCTGGCACTTATAAGCATGTTTTACCTGTAATGACAAAATAATGGGGATTTGTTTTCACAGTGGCTGTATATTGTGAATAATTTAATAAGTCGATAGCAACTTTTCAGTTTTAAACTAATCTCGTTCAAGCAGATGCTTGTCTGTCTCCGTAAACTCCAACGAGCAGGAGTTTATGGAGACAGTCGAGCATCTGCTTGAATGAGACTAGTTTTACACATGCTATCTACATGATCTAAGTGGTAATTTTTTTTTTTAAAAATATGTATACTGGTATATTATTTAAAAAGTACATATTATACAAAAAATACCGACTAACCGGTTATGAAAATCATAACCCGTCATCCCATGCTAAACCGGTTACTATATTTCTGACTGATTAGATGGTTACCCAGTTGACCATTGCCATCCCTAATAAATTTTTTACATGTGTAAGTTATGTGCATTTCTTTTGTGAAATCATGAAAAAAAACCTCCTAATTAATCCCTATTTATATTATATTTTGTAATTACATTCTCAAAATTGACTGCATGTAAACATCTATTTAATAGAGTACTTTTTACAAATAATACACGGAAAATGTGACAGCATCTTTGAACTCTGTTTGATGGTTTCATTAGGGGTGTCAATGAATATTCGAGTACTCGACTATCATTCAATCATACTGACTATCGACTAAAATTTGTTAAGTCGGTTGTTCGTTTAAAATTTGCTACTCTTAAATTCAATGTAAAAAAAAATTGGATCTGCTCAGTTCATTTATTAACGTATCAGTGTTCAAACTCAGGGAAAGGCTTAACCAGTCTTTGTTAATTGTTCAAAGGAATTTTGTTGTTGGACAAACATGCATTGGCATACTTTAAAAGATGTCGGATCCAAATTGTAAAGTTTCAACCTGCAATTTCGTAAGATCTCAGATCTCATATAATGCAACTACCAATTAATGAAGAATAATAAAACTTTATAAATACATGTAAATTGGGGAATGGTTATGAGCATAATTCAAAGGTGTTTCTTTCTGATATTAATATCAATCATTTTTAAATTGTATTGATTGAATGCAAAAAATCTCATAGTTAAAATTTTGTTTTTATAAGAGTTACACTTTAATTGTTTAACAATCACGGGTCACTGACAAGACACATTCAAATGGCTTCAGGTAAGAAATCAATAAAGGGTACATGTACTAGCAGCAGGAAAAGAAAGGATAAATACGAGCATTTGATGTTCTGTATATAGATAAAATGTGCAGTCAGTGATTTTTTTAGAGCTGACTTGGGGCCGAAATTCGGCCCCAGTCCCAATTGAAAATATGCCTGTATTTTCCCAAAATGTAATGGAAGTTTTCCCAAAGAAATACTTACAAAATATGTGATCAAATTTAGTTTGTTTATTGCATGTTTTTCAAGCAGGTTTTGTTGTTCAGGTGGCAGGGGATAGTTTCATACTAAAGACCCGGTCAAATTTCTTAAAGAATTGAGATATCCCCTGTTTGATGTGATATTTATGTAGAAAAATTATTAGAATAATTATGGGACACATTTGCAGTGTAGCAGAGTGCTTGCTGAAATAAATGATGTGCAATATGTAGGTGTCACTATGATGCTTATATACATGCAGAGTTGTAAATGCGAACCTAAGACACATGGTCAGTTGCAGAGGAAATTCACTGAAAAGCAGTAGGCCTTAGAAGAAGGTGTGTATCTCAGAGGGAAGGTGAATGGCCCCATATCAATTGGTGAATTTTCATTAGGGCATGCATTGATTTACAGACTACTGAGTGTTTTATCCTGCTCACTCGGGCCTGGGGGTGGGTTGTATGGGTGCGACTGAGGCCCAAATCTTGCAAAAACAAGCCAAAATTTGGGGAGACCCCAGGTGTATTTTTGGTACATGTGCACTCTACTAGGCAAATTATATGTAATTTGTTGACATAATTTGTGAGCCATGGGCATATGAAGTGTAATTAATTAGCCCCTGGAAAACTGTCCCCATGTACATGTTTTTATGCATCGCATGTATATGTGTACCCCCTCGGCACATGTTTGGCATTTAAAAAAACTATCCTCTGCCACCTTCAAGAAAACACCAATTTTCAGAAATATTTAATTTAGTCTAATTCTTCTCTAAATAAGTTTATTGATGTATGCCATTTTCAAAACTCACCATATTTCTTTTATTTGACTCTTATTCATTTAGATATAGAGACCTAAACACAAGGGGGGTAAACCTTTCCCAGTACACATTTTCAAAGAGTTTGAAGCATCAGCTTAACAAATCTTAACAGAGTAAGGCGATTTTTGTCTGAAAAAATTTATTTGTTTGAAATAGTTTGGGCACTGTCACATATATTTTATCAAATTTTGATGCAATATCAGTATTAATTAAAATTAAAGGGGCTCAGTTATTGCGATATCACTGAAATTACAAATTATAAACTTACTCTTTTTTACATGTATTTTCACTAAATATCATTATTTTGAGAAAAGAATGAGTCAGTATGCAAAAATATCAGTTCACGGAACCACATTTATTCAAAGAATTCACGGAACCACATTTATTCAAAGAATTGCTGTGCTTTAATTTTTTTTCAAATTAGACCCATCTTACTATTGATAATTACATTAAAAAAAAACCCTCCCCTTCATTTTCCTCCTCATTTGTCTTCTATAATGTGATAGAACTTAAACTTTTCATTATTTTCATATATAGACTATATATTTTTCTTTAAATTATAACAAAAAAGATGGTCTTTTTGCATATTTAATGAACAAAATATCAGAAATATGTACATTTTTCATGTAATTATTGGATTCTACTAAACACCTGAAATTTACTCACAAATGCCAAGTAAGGACAGGATGATCACTTTAATTATTCAGGGGAATCAAATGCATGTATTTGATCACTCAGATACATTGAAATTGAATGGAAATATACTCAGGAAAAGGACAGTCAGTAAAATCAGATTTCCACAGTATATGTGACGGTGCACATTTTAATGTTTTTGAAATATTTTCTATAGAATCAGGTAATGGTTGGAGGGGTAGGGTAGATAAATGCAACTTTCAGGACACTTCTTCTTGAACCTTTGATGCAAGAGGGGTTTTTGTATATTACAATAAATATCCTGAAAAATAGATTAGGTTTTCTTTTTGCAAACAAGCTATAGATGTATAAATTCAAGCAATTAAGAGGTAAAATGGGATTTCTCAAAACATCAAAAATAGGAGAATATGTGTTTCATGTGAGTACATTTCATGAAGGCATGCAATTCTTATTGAATTTTTTTATATGTAGCTGCATTTGAAATTGATCAAAGTTACCATTAAACACTGTTTTGATAAGAAATAGATTCTTTTGGATTGTAGGAGTTGGTCATTTTTGAAGTAACACAACACAAAGAATATGGGTTTAAGGTGGTTGACCGACAATTGGTGGGGTCACTTATTTGCCTCTAACTTTTTTATTTTTCATTGAAATAAGACATATTTAGTATATTTTTACTCAGAATTAATTGCACTTTCTAAATATGGAAAGTTATTTTAATTAAAAAGCAAACTTTGAAAGTTAAAGGTGGCAGGGGATAGTTTCGTACTAAAGACTCGGTCAAATTTCTTAAAAAATTGAGATATCCCCTGTTTGATGTGATATTTTATGTAGAAAAATGATTAGAATAATTATGGGACACATCTGCAGTGTAGCAAAGTGCTTGCTGAAAAAAATGATGTGCAACTTGTAGGTGTCACTATGATGCTTATCATATACAGAGTTGTAAATGCGAACCTAAGACACGTGGTCAGTTGCAGAGGAAATTCAGCTGAAAAGCAGTAGGCCTTAGAAGAAGGTGTGTATCTCAGAGGGAAGATGAATGGCCCCATATCAATTGGTGAATTTTCATTAGGGCATGCATTGATTTACAGACTAC